TCAGAGGATTCACCATGATTATAAGAATCGTTGACACAATGGATTTAGCTGCCATATAAAGAAGAGTCAGCCTCTTTGTCTCAACCTTCACATTGGCTCCAAATTACTCACTAGCAACTTAATTTTTCAACCTGCAAAAGACCTTGATTAATTTGGGGGCACTTCTCTGTTTCCACAATACTTTATTTCCTTGAATCTTCCTTATGTTCTATAACATAAAATGGCAGGAGATAAGCATCAATAACTATCAAATATAAGCAATTTAGCACTATTTATAAGAATTCAGCTCAATAGTCAAGTGTAAAGACCATACTAATTCAAGCACAATCTCAACCAAAAGAAAGAATAAAAGAAAGGGTACTTTGATTAGTAAGAGAAGTCATTTCCTATATCAGATATTCAGTATCTACCAAGGAAATTTAAACACCCCAAAGAGTGCGAGTTTATAGATTGCAGCTACTGCATCAATTTGTAGAAGAACACATCATGCATTAAGGATCAACCACGCCCTTTCATATCCAGGGAAAGCAAAATATTTTGGCATGACCAGAGAATTGACCACCTTCAAATCACTGAAAACAGATCAACTAAGTCAGACCTATCTGAATTTAAACTACCATGAGCCTCTTTATCAGTTGTTTAGCTAAAGGAAACAGGGAAAGAGGTGGAAACAGATGCAAAAATTCTGGGAAAAAAATTTGGACCATTTCTCGATTTGTGCGTGTCATCCTTGCGCAGGGGCCATGCTAATCTTCTCTGTATCGTTCCAATTTTATCGGATGTCCCCGAAGGGAGGACACTGCACTCCTCATTTTTGCTATATAAAATTTATTTACGATATGTTTCTAACTAATGTGGGAGTTTTGGTTGGATTCTGACTAAACTGACTAAGACCTTGCAAGTGGGCTGGTTGTATCTTAAACGTGGCACAAAACCATGGGTTTTGAGGTTGTAGGACCCTGTTAATTCACGTAAAACCCACACGTGGACTGTTGACGTGTCTCAACCTGATTAGTGGGTCTTAGTCCCGGACATCAAGCCCAGCTGATCACTGTTCCTGAAGTAAGGAAAAATTTTTCTTGGGGGAATTAGCTTGAAGCTATAGTCAAGTTTTGATAACAGATGGCAACAATTGTCATAAAGCCTGAATGTTGAAGAAAAATGAAGAAGAATATTGACATAACTTGATGATCCCAAGTTGCAATTAGATAATTACAGCTCGTGATTTTTGGGTTGATTCAGAAGTATCAGTAAGGGCCAAGCGGAAAAGGGCTCTGTCACTTTCTGTAGTTTGGGTCTTCAATTCTTGGATGATGCACTCAACTGGTTCTTTCAGGCTAGCTTTTCTTCTCTCTTTCAAGTTCCAAAGTTGGAGAAGTATGTACCTCACAATTCCATTGTACACATTCAATCCCAACAATGCATTAGATACAGCTTTGCAAACCTCATCACAGTTGATTATTTCCTACAACATCCAAAACAAGAGATATGAGAATAAAACTCTGCACATTTTTTAAGTATATTCATGTTATCACATCAAGTTCACATAGTTCATCCATGCCATATATGGTTCATACCATTGTTTTTTCAATTCAAAGCTCCCTAAGTAGGTTCACCTACTTGACCCTAACCTGTTTCAATCATACTGCTAATGTATATATAATTTGTAACAAGACTTGTGTTCATATGGTTGAACATAAATGATGGGCATGCAATGGGCTGCCTTCTGATATAGTTGTAGGTCATGGAAGTCAAGCATTGTCCATGAGTATTTGTGGGATAAATGGTTGAGGTCAAACTTTGCTCTTCATAATCTTTTCCATAATAACAATATAAAAAAAATTCTGATTCTTCTGTAACTAGTTCGAACAGCACCCATGATCAAGAAACTTGATCCATCGGCCATCAGAACATGCAAAGAACAGAACTAAACAAAAGCTTCTTATGTTGAGATTAATAGATGCTCATGTTAGTATGTTAGCAGGTGAAGAACAAGCAAAGAACAGAACTAAACAAGCATCTTATGTTGTGATTAATAAATGCTCATGTTACTATGTAAGCAGGTGAAGTGGGATTAGGTGAGTAATTTGATTATAAGTAATTTTTATTTGTATATGCGATAATTATTAGATTTCCACATAATTTCATATTTATATATATAATTTGTATTTTTTAAAATTTGATTATAAAAATGTCATCTTCAAATGAGAATAGAAGAAAGCAAAGAAAAAATTTGATCATAAAATCTCATCTTAGAATGAGCATAAAAAAAAGCAAAGAAAATTCTGTGAAAAAATGACATTTTTATTTCATATTTTTTATATAATTTATATTTTTAAAAAATTTCATCATAAGTAATTTTTATTTGTATATGCGACAATTATAAAATTTCACATAATTTCATATTTTCTTATATAATTTATATTTTTTAAAATTTGATTATAAAATCGCACATCTTAAAATGAGCATAAAAAAAGTAAAGAAAAATCAAAGTTGATGGGATAAGCCAGAGGGCACTGCCTTTTTATCATATCTGAGTGATGTGGGATAGTACGCGCCTACTCCTGATTAAGCTCCTATATTGCTCCCATGATTGGGAATGCCCTTTTAAGCTAAGATTGGATTGAGTCAGTGAGATAGAATATTCCCATGCATGCCCAAATGGAACGATGCAAATTACGATGAAATGAAGTGGGGATCCTTAAGATATTCATCCCAGAATTAGCACACTTCCCAGACTCCTGCAGCAGCTCATCATTGCTCTTACAATAATACTTTGGTTCATTGCTTGTACGTCTCCAAGCTCTCAACTCTTTAAGAGTTGCCTCCATCTTCCTCAAAACTTGTGTATTGTCTTCATCTCCCATATATATATATATATATATCAGGCGAGGGAAATGCTGCTGGTTAGGATCCTTCAAGGTGTTGTGGATGTGAGAGGAGGGCCAAGAGTCAAATTTAATGACCCAAATGAAAAGAGAGAAAAGGTTGATTTACTTATGGAAAATGAAGATGGGATATAATCGATTTTACTGCTCGTGTTCTTGTTATCTGGTCATGAAACCTCATCATTTTTCTACATGATGACCATCCACAAATGTTGCAATAGGCTAAGGTGGGATCATAGCAACTCACCCTGAAGCAAAACGCAAAGAACAGAAATGAACAAGCCTCTTATGTTTTAATGAATAGAAGCTCATCATGTTTGTATGTAAGCAGGTCATGAGATGGGAGTTTTTGTGCATCAAAGTAAAGCTGAGTAGATGGGGCTTCAATCTGCATTGAGTTGGTTTCGCTGCAATCTGCATTGAGTTGGTTTCAACTTCAAGTCAGTTTTGTTTAACATTAATGCTAACCAAACTTCAGAAATCTTCAAACAAGAATAAGCATAACCACCAAGACCAAGACCATAATCTCGGATGTTAGGATGCACACAAAGTGAAGTTCCAAGCACCATTACGGATTGTAATATCTGTATTTGTTCATTGTTTTCTGATATACAGAACACAGCCACAAAAATGTTGAAGGCAACCCTACATTTTGGTGAAAGTTTATTTTTTGACTTTGAAGCTTAGAGATTAACTGCACCCAGATTCCAGCACAGGCTGAATTCTAGTAGATAAGTGTAAATATGCAGAGTTGAGCTCCATCCTAGTCCTAATAACGTACTATTTATAAGAGAAATAAAATGATATCAAGTATGAACAGAATGACCCAGAGAATACTCAGAGCAAACCCAGAAAAGCAAATGAAATTGCAAGCTGAAGTGCCCCATGCCAATGGTAACAGATTGATCTTGTGGGATCATTGCTTGCTAAGAATGAAAGGGACACAAGGGACAAGACTTCAATCCCTGTATTTATTAAATACTAACTACCAGCTATCATCATTTTGAAGTATCCTGCATGGTGGCTACCCCACATTTTTTTGAGGTTCATTTGCTTTATATAAACAATCATTTGAAAATTTTGAATCTTACCTGCTTATATTAAAAATCAAAAGATAAATTCTGGTGCCAATGGACAGATAATGTTTAAGCAAAGTCTTGACAGAGATATGCAATGTGATTTTTTAGCAGAAGCTTACACTTGATGGTGATGTGCTCAACATGCTGTGCTCACATCTCATCCAGATCATGTGGGCTAATTTAGTACCACCCATGCTTGTAGGGTACCCCCTTTCTTATTCCCCCTAACTTAAGGAAATGACAAGTGCAGTAAAGCTATGAAAATATCCCTCCAACTCACGCCACCTTTTTGTTTTGTTTTTTTTTTCCTTTTTATTTTCCCCCTTTTAGTGAATTCCAAACAAGTGAAAGAAAATAAAAAGGTTGTCTCATGGGAAAAGTCATAGGTAATGAAAAAGCCTAAAAATAGGGGATGTTTGGTTCATAAGAAAATCTTCTTTGCAAGATTTTGTTTCATGTAGTTCATTGGTGGAATGATTGGGAAATGGAAATTTGATGCTACTCTTTTAACTAATCTTTGTCCTCAATGGGGGAATCTTTCTACCCAATCCCAACCCAAAGCCCATCTAGGTGCAAAAATTTTTAGTCAAAAAGTCTTATTTATTTATGTACATATATTGGTTGAGTTATTATTATTATGCAAATGATTCAAACTTACAATCTCTATTGTTTTCTTTACAAACAAAACTACCATAAAAGGAGCTTGAAAAAGTATCCTTGAAGTAACCTTCCAGGGTCTAATTCCATCATACAATGATGATAAGCACCTCCATTGATGTTTTATGCCACCAAATTTATATATATATATATATATATATATAATATTTAAAAAATTCTTAAATTATTAAAAAATTTAAATAAATTTTATTTTTTTATTATATTTAATCAAATCTTTATTTTTTTATTAATTAAAATATCATTTATCATTCTTTATTATGTCAATGCTTATGTAACATGTTGATGTAGTTTGATAATATAATTATGTGATATTTTTATCTTTTATGTCACTATCATATGAACATAAAATAATAAATGACATTCTAATTAATACCAAATGAGCCTACCATTAATCATAAAAAACTATTTAACATAAAATGAAAGTATAAAGATTTGATTAAACTCAATAGAAGTATAAAAATTTATTTAATTTTTTTTTAAATAATTCAAGAGTTTTTTAAGAGTTATTCAAATTTTAAAATTTCTTTTAGTGCTCCACTTGCACTGAAATCATACACAATAAAACCAATTATCTAAAAAAGAGAGTAGGAATTATGGGTTTCACCTAAAAGAAATGATGGTCTATGAATATATATATTTAATCCAATACCTACAAGGAGTTATGGATTTCTCTGTTTTGTGATATACCTTTCACCAATAAATCAATGTCTGCCCTCATTTATTCTTCTTCTTCTTCTAATTATATTTTCCACCTTCCCTTTCTTGGATTTGAGAATCATCCCATGTGAAGTTGTGTGAACTTCCCATCAAGAAAGACAGAAGTTCCCATATCAACCTTATGGTGGGTTTTCACTGCCTATGAATGTATGGGAAAGGTGAGTTCACAATCTGATTTTTTTTTTTTTACTGTGAAAGCCACATTGCTTCTATGGAAACTTGTGCTTTTAACTGTGGGGCTCCAAAAAAGTAAAAAGAAAAAAAAGTAAAAATGATTCACTTATTAGACAACAAATTACTAAATTACTAGTACTACTAAAGAACTATTTGAAATTCAGTAAACAATTAATTTCCCACCCTATAACAAGTCAAACACTAATTACTCAAGGTAACTAGGGGAATTTATTACCTATAGTAAATTTTTTTACAAACTTTTAGGTTTATTTCTTTTTTCCCAAATTACCCTTGTCTAAAAAATCAATACATTATTAACCAATAAGTTCTTTGAGGGGTATGGAAGTAAAAGGAAATAAAAAAAGGAAGAAAAATTCCAGACCCAATGACACATCACTTTCCTTTTATTTGTGATCCCATGTGAGTATCCCTCGAAGCAAGTGACCTCTCAACCATAAAACTACAAAGGCATTTGCCTACTCTTCTTTCCCCTGGTGGCCCTGTTTCCCCCCACCTTTGCTGTTCTTTTATTTGTCTCTCATATTTGTACTTAACAAATCTCAATTATCCCAATGATTTAAACCCCAAAATTCTTTGTTTAAGATTAAATATTCTGCATTAATTTTTTTAGTAGAACTTGTTTGATAAAAGCTTGTAGTTATGTGCAAGTGTGTGGTGGTCTACTTCATGTGGTCTTTTACAACAAAAAGGGTTTTGATAATCATGCTTAATGATTAAAATAGTGTGATTTTCAGAGGAAAGAGAGCTTTTTAGATTTTCTTTTTCAATTTTTTTAGTAGCTCAAGGGTTTTAGGACACTGTTATTTTTGCAGGTAAAGCTGAAGGGTATGTTTCTAATGCTTTTGAGAAAAGGGATAGAGTCTTGATATGACTCACTTTGGGGGAGGGGATTGTAGTCAAAGTTCATGACCTGGGTTCTTGCCTCCTGGGCTTTTGGTTTTGTGTTCTGTGAAGATTGAGACTTCTCAGTGAGCTTTTTTTCTTCTTTTGGGTTTTCTTGTTGGGTTGTTCACTTGTTCTTGCAATGAAGGAATATCTTCAACTTTATTAATAGTAAGTTTTCCCCTCTGTGTAAAGCTAAAGGGTATTTTGAGTGGAAAGTTTTGTGTATTTTGAGTTGTTTTTCTAATGTGAATTAGAGAGGGGAGGGTTGAAAATGAAATCTTTGAGTAGTGTAGGACTTGGTTTGAGCATAGTTTTTGGTTGTCTGGTGTTAGCTTTGCTTGCTGAGTTATATTACTTGTTGTGGTGGAAGAAGAGGTTAACAAGCAGAGATATTGAAAATGATTACAGCAATCCAGCTAGGGAGTTCTTTTACATGTTTTGCTGGAAAAGGTCATCTTCCATGAGTCATACAGCTTTGAATCCTCAAGAAATTAGAATGACAGAAGAACAGCAGCAATCTCATCATCATCAGCTTCATCTTCACTCAAACAAAGATTTCTTGCTCAAGCCTAATTTTGGTCACCATGATGATCCTCATGGCATGGAGAATGAGCTATTGAGGCTGCATAGTCTTTCAGGGCCACCAAGATTTCTCTTCACAATCATTGAAGAAACCAAGGAGGATTTGGAGTCTGAGGAAGCCAAGTCCAAGTGTGATAACAAAAGTAGAGTAGGGTCTAGAGGGAGGAGTTTGAGTGATCTACTTCTCACTGTGGAAACTCCATATCTAACCCCTCTTGCTTCTCCACCATTTTTCACTCCCCCTCTTACTCCCATGGAAGCTTGTTATAATCACCAAGGATTCAACCCTTTATTTGAATCCGCTACTGATGCAGAGTTTAACAGGAAAAGGGCATCTCCTCCTCCAAAGTTCAAGTTCTTGCAAGAAGCCGAGGAGAAACTTCAAAGGAAAAAGTTAATGGAAAAAGTTCACAACACTGATGAATTTGAACCATTTGGTCAAGAAAATGGTGACATGACTCCTCCTTCAAAGTATCTCAAAGATGAAGAAGACGGATCTTTCATCACAATAATTGTTGACAGGAGCAAAGAAAAAGGGTTTAATCACAATCACCAACAACAACTCCATTCAAGTACTTCCCAGGTACTTCCTCTTAGTTCTTCACCTTCAACATTCAAGTCACCAGCCAGGAATACTCCCATCTAACAAACATTTTTAGAGAGTTTCATCATGACCAACCAAACTAAAAATGAAAATTCCTTTTTTCTTTTCTGTTGTCCTTTCAGGTTTCGATTTATTATTCCTTTTTTTTTTCGCTTATTTGCTATGTATCTTTTCTTCGAGGGAGAGACCCAACATTCTCTTCCAGAACATGATGATGTGAGGTGGCCTTAATGCAAGTGGGAGGGGGACTAGTGGGGTTGCTTGTTTTATTTCAATCTCCATGTCTCTCCTGAGCTGTTTGATACCTGTAATCATTCCCATGAGTGAATTCAATTACTAATGTTCTTTCAAAGATCCATCCCTTTACTTATTTCTCTAACAAAATTCTATGCATAATCAAGTTATCGACAGTTTGATATTCCTCTGCCTGATTATTATTGTTGTTTGGTGTTTACTCAAATGACAATCTTTGGGGTACATAATGTGATGTGGACCGTCTGATAAACATCTGGCAAAAGTAGATGGAAGTGGGGTTTTGGGTGGGGCCGAGATGAGTAGAGTTCTATCTATAATCTGTATGTGAAGGAGAAAGAAGGTACACTACACTCCAACAAAATGACAAAACTGGAAAAAACACATAAAGAGGGAAGAAAAAGGGGGGAGGCAGATGGGTAGTGACTTGTTGTAAGATGCCCCTTTAGGCTTTTTCCAAAACAACAGAGGAGGATGCCATTGCCCGTGAGAGTGTGTCTCGTGGGCATACGGCCGAAAGCTAACCCAACCCACCCTGAAAAATCATTACAGTTTTCTCTCTTTCTACATTAATTGCTGGGGACTGGTAGAGAAGCTCCACGGCTTTTAGTCATGAACTCATGCTTTTATATTTTTGTTCTTTTCCTCTTTGATGCACAGCTACTACTATAACTGTTGGTTCCTTTTTTCAAGAGGGAATTGGAGTTAGAACCCTGTTTCTTTAATAAGAGATAAAAGATACGTCAAATATTCTAATATAATCTATCTATTTTGGACGTGTAATAATCAAATGCTTGTTATACGTACGTATCCTGTACATTAGTAAAAAATAAAATGTGTCTTGAATTTTCTAAAGATAAAGCCCCTTAGAAGATCGATTCAAAAAACATGTCCCTTAAAGGAGAAAGATTCACCATGATCCGAGCTTATCTCGATTTGTCACGGGTGACAAAAGTGAATCTCTATCCTCTTAAGAGGCATGTCTTTTGACAAGTATGCGCCCATGACATACAGACTTCAGTGTAGTGTAATGGTTTCAAAGCCTTGTGCCATTTTATTTTCAAAGTAGGCAGGTTGGAAACATGGCTAAATAAAGATTGTGATTGCAGTGATGCAGCACTTAGATCTTTTTGCAAAAGAGAAGACAGTAGTAAAATGCAGATGAACTTGTTTCAGATTCAAAATTGAAGTAAATTATGGACGAAATCAACAGCCCCTAGTCTTTGATAAAGTTAAGCAGCATGTCAAAGTTGTTCCTCAAATGCAGTAAATTTGCTTTCATGACCACACCCTAAGAGAGTTGAATCCTGATTTAAAGATGCATCCATGACAATAAGGGAAACAATAAAGAGGAGCAATGAGATTAATCCAATAAAAAAGGGATATCCTGTCTTACAAAGTTAACAATATTATTACATTGATCATGCCATCCTCTTCTGAGATTATGCATTGAAACTTGTTAATAAAATACAGGCTGAAACTTTTTAAATACATGCATCTTCACACCAGGGGATGGAAATCAATAGGTTTAGAAACCAAAAACGAGAAAAGATGAGTACAACTACGAGTCGGATATGTAAACATTGTGGTCCAATAAGGATGGGAGTGCAATGGAATTCAAAGATAAATAAATTACCAACCCAATGAGGTGAAGAGTAGAAATGGCGTCAAATGATTCCCAAGGCAGCAATATCTGTCATTCCAAGTTCAGCACAGAGTGGGTTCAAGCCAGGTTCTTCCAAAAGGCTGAATGCAGTATATCCGTAGTAGGAATGATATATATCTGGTAGCATCTCGGGATACTTACTGAAACCTCCAAACTGGTAAAAATTGGATATAATATAATTATCCAAAAAATACAACGATGTAAGTGACAGATAAGGGTTATTATAGTATTAGCTTACATACATGTACATGATGCAAAGCCAACCGTTTTCAACATTTTAAGCTTCACATTTACCTCTTAATGCCTTAATCCTATTTTCCTTTGCTCTTAATTTCAATTTCCCTATTGCAAAGGCATTTGATATAGAAATTTCAATAATCCCTCCCTCCCTCAAAAATTGCTTTCAGATAAATAAATCATTCACTCTAATTAGGAGATGGTGATTACCATTAAAGACTATTTTTAAAGTTTTCAGGCATTGGTGCCAGCTTTAAGCAACCAAGAAAGCAGCTTCTTATCTTCCATGGATCATAGGAGGCTGTTCCATTTACTTTATTATTTTAAATGCACAGAGCATATTAAATCACAAACTACACATGAACAATTCTACAACCACTATTTATATAAGGGTGTGTTTGAATGCATGCTGAATTTAGACTGTGTGAAGCAGTAGCAGCACCTCAGACTGACAAGTCAGCAAAAAACTGCGCAAAGCAATCTTGTCAATGAATTTGTATCCCCCTAGGATCCTTAAGACTGCCCCAATCCTACACAAAAGCACTATCTCATCAACAGAAAGACCGCTTATACTGTGTAACGAAAAATGGTTTTTCTTATACTTACCAAAATGCATAGCATGTATCACTAGATTTATTGGCTCTGCCTTGAAATCCACCATCAGTTGCCTGCCTCTGTTAGAGAGAGGAGAAGAGGAGAGGATGAAATCACTCTTGGGGCAAAAGAATGCAAAGGTGCCTAACATTCAACTCAAAAATTGAGTTCGCACACAGAGATAACAATAATGAATCATCTCTGAAAATATATTTGCTTTATTAGCATTTTATATGTTCTTAATGGCCTTTTAGGGGTCCATTGTCTACTTCTAGATATTAAACTAAAAACTGTATCTTCCTGACATAGTAAGTAATCCTTCTAGATTTTAGATGGCGAAAGTAAACCTGCATACTCCAATCCAGCAATAACGGCACATTTATGATGGAAGATGATGTATTTTTTGAGAGAAGATCATCTTCAATGTACCCCATTAACTGAAGAGATGCTACAGCACAATACGTACCACCCCCTGCATCACTAAGATTAATGCTCTTGGTAAATATCATCCAAGTGAATAGAATTTGAAAACAAAAGAAACTATAGCATGGAGCAGTTTCATGCAGATACTTTTCCTACTAAAAAATTGACCCACCAGCAAATGACACTGAAAAATGTGATAATTTGATAACAGAAGTGGTTTGGGTGAAACAAAAATGAAATCGCATCAGTTAAGTAAGACTAAAGTCATGCTCAGCCTAATTTGTTTATAAACTCATGAAATCTAAGAGAAATGAGAAAATTACAGATAAGCAGTGATTAGACCTGCTCTATGTGCATGGAGTTGACAGAACATATATCAGCAATTACAAAACATGTTTTTTAACTCACCATGTGATTCTGAACCAGGCGTTAAGCCAAAGCCACCGTCATAAGACTGAGAGAATAAAATCACTTCTACTTCAGTATATATAGCATAACACAAAAATAAAATGGAAACATTGAGAATTGAGCACTGCAGTACAGGCATACCTGGCAATTTAAGATGAACTCCTTGGCTTTCTCCCTATCCATGCCACTCCAATCCTCCAACATAAAACAGACAGCAGCTGATACACCAATTAGCTATACTGACATTTCACTATGGAGAACTCCAATTGATAGAGATTTTTGTAACTGCGTAATGATTCAGTTCTTACCAGCACAATATACAAATCGAAGATCTGTCTCTGCCCCAACATGCAAAGGCATAAAACTGCAAGATCAATACAAAAAGAAAGAACAAGTCAGCTTTATGCAGTAGTAATCAGTGTAGAAGATAAAATTTTTCCTTTCTTTTCTATTCTTTGCTGGTGCATAAGAACATTATCAGGGTACTTTCATTGCTTTTACAAACAATATGCATAGTTAGACTTTGATGAAGCATATCAATCAATATACATCTCTATGAAGCATCTAAAGCAGATTTATTCTGTAAATAGTAAGTATTTTGAAGAATACCTTCCATCAGGCTGCTGAAGGTTTCTCATCGAAATCAATATTGATTCTTTGTCTATAGTCAAGAGATTATATCCAACAGTCTTTAGTATGGCTAGGGCACAATATGTGCTTGCCAAGTGGCCGGCATTATAAGCTGAAACCTATATGCCGACTAAACAGATTAACTAAACAATTAATAATAATAAGAAAAAAGATAATGCACACTGAGTTTCTCTTACCCCATTTTCATCAGGAGGGAATTGTGAAGTCCTAGAACCATGAAACCCATAAAATTGACCTACACAAATCACATCTCTGTTTAGAAAATTCTTTCTTTTTTCTTATATCAAAGCACAATAGAGCATCAAAACCTAACAAAATAATACAACATTTTTCAGCAAAAGCCCAAACCATTTTTCAGTTCAGCTTCACTTCGCGGATGAGCTTGAAATGATAAAACCCAATTGGCAACTCTGTCTTTGTCGACCTAAAATACATAGAAAGCCATAATCAATAAACATTTTTAAACTTTTTCATGATGGTATATACAGCTAATTAACTTAGACAAATTAAGAATCAAATTGTCTTAGAAAGGAAATTCTTTTATTTCTTACTTTTCACTAGAAAATACAATTATGAGCCAAATGTTATAAGAGTTTAATTAAAGAAAGGTTCTTCAAGTACTTTTTATGAAGGTATAATCAGCTAATTCAGTATTGCAATCAGAATCAAAATTCTCTAAAAAGAAAAATAAAATTTAATATTTTATCTCTTAATTCAGTCAAAATATGATAAATTTGATTACTCTGTTCAAAGACTTCTCCGATCAACCAGTAAACAATTACTACAAAATTAGATACTGCTATTTACTTTCTCTCTTTTTATCTAATTTTAATTTTTTAACTTCAAATCAACATTTTCTGCCAAACCGTAACCCTAAAGTTTCTAAAATAACAAATTCGAAAAATAATAAGCGAATTTAAAGGTTACGCGATCTAAGGCTTGGAGGAGGTGAAGGCCAGAGATGGTGAAAAATGCGAGAGTGAGGCGATTGATTTCCTGCGACTGGTAGTACTGAGGTATCAAATTGTACATCATCTCCAAGAACGCCACGTGTCGATCTCTGTCGAAGTACCGCAGCCGCGATGGCGGTGACGATAAAGCCGACGGCGATGGCGACGACGTTTCGTCTTCGTCTTCTTCTTCAGCTTCGGAATCCGCTGGGTTCCAACCTCTCGTCGCCATGCCGATTCCGCTTTTCGAATTTCTAGTCTTTTTTCCTTAGTTACTGAGTTCTGACTTTCCTTTTTTTCTGTTTTTCTTTTCCCCTAATTCTTTTGCTAATAGAATAAATTTAAGCATTAAATTAATTTTTATAAATTTTAAAATAATGACTCACAAGTGCAAACGGTCGGTACCATATTAAAGTTTCAAAAATTGAAAATTCGAATTTATCTTACACAAAAACTTACTGCATTGAATTATTATATTTAATGGAATAGATCTAAAATTAAATTATGTTAATAAATTTAATTAATTTAAAAAATTAAATTAAAATAATTTTATATATAAATAAAATAATTATAAATTTTATTAAATAAAGTTTAATTATCTGATCTGTTGATTGAAAAATTCAATCATCGAAAATCAAAAAAATTGATTAAAATAACCAAATATATAAAATCGAACATCTCAAAAATCATTCTACTTAAATCAAAAATTTTGAAATCAAAATTGAAATGATTTTGCTCACTCCTAATTATAATGGGTAAAAAGGTTTATATTATTTGGTTTAAAATTAAAAAAGAGGGTTGGGTTGGGCAAGTGGCAACTAGCAAAAAGCCAAAATCTCTAAAAAAAAAATAGAAAAAGAAAATCCTAAAACCCTGTTAAACTCCATAAATGATAAACCTCTGCTCTTCTAGCAGGCTTCGCTCAAAAAAGAAAACCCTTTTTCTTCACATCCAAAAGGACCCAATCTTCGAAGGAGTAATTTGGTGGAGCAGCTGGGGTTTTTAATGAAAGGCAGCAACAAGGCCACTGTTTTAAGTCTTGCTCAGAAATGCAAGGTTGCTCCTTTAAAAACTTTCCAGCATTTTTCCATGCTGAAAATTTGCTAACTTTAGTCTATTTGCAGAATATCTTGGCATCAAATTGGCAAGGTCATCTTAATACCATCAAATCTGATGCCAAAGGAAGGTACCCTTTTCATAGTTCAGTTCAATGTTTTTGTCTTTCCTTTTAATTCAATTGGGTCTGTTTTTGGTGTTTTGGCTTTGATAAATCAAAGTCTTCAGCTTTTTTTAGTTGTTGAAAAGCTGAAATGTGAAGAAAAGAGAAAGAACTTGATACTTAGTTAGTGGATGTAGTTGAGATTAGCTGTATTCTTTAAGAAATCAAAACAGCATAACTCAACGAGGTCATGCAGTTATGGTTTGATTTCCTTTTTGTTTTATGTCTGATTACGGGTATGTTAAGGTAAAGTGAAGAGTTTGCATAACAGTCTTTCTTTCATGGCGTGAATTTGTTAAAGAATCGAAAGAAGAGTTGAGAATCAATTCAGATATATTGTTTGATTGCTTTGAATGATTGTATCACAGTAAGCAGGATATATACACTTCGAAGGTTAAGTACATTTTCAAGAGGGGGAAACCATATATCTGGGTACCGGAAAATGAGTTACATAATGTGGTATGTTTCTCTTGCCAACGGCTCTACTTTTTTTGTTTTGGATATAAAATCATTTTTCTGATATTCAAGTATCTTGTTGGTCGGTCACATAATCTTGTATTTTTTACTTATTGAGGTGAAATGGTTTGAATATTCAATGAAGACTGAATAATTCCAGGCTGTTTTGATGACATTTTGAACTTTTATGTTCTCTGTTTGGTTGATTAACTATTTGCAAGAGCTGCTCCTGCATTTGCTCTGGTTATAGGTTTGAGTATGTATGTCTGTACTCCTTTTAGTTAAATGTTAGCCTTCTGTGTTCTTTCTACTCTCTCCTTGTTTAAGTTACCATTTATCTTCCCTATCATGTTTCCAGTGTAAGCCCATATTTTTTACCTTTTGCCTTTTTGGATAAAGTTTAAATTCCTTTTACAAAATATTTTTTCCTCTTCAAAGACTGCTATGAATGCAGAACTTATTTTCTTAGTTCGTATGAGCTCTTAGAACTTTGAGAAACTATCTAGTCACTGTGTGTACTGAATTCTTAATTATTTCATTATTTCCTATTTGTACGCAGAACACTATAATTGATGAACGTGGTTCATTTTCTGTAGCCAGTCCCTTCCCTGGGCCTCTTGCAAGATTACTTAGATCAATGAACAAGGTTGGCGTCCTTTTTAACTTGCACCACATGTCTTTTGTTGCAAGCAGTATTTTAGTTCCTCGAGGGAGCTTCCCTTCTTTGGATAGTATATATTTTTCTAGTTGTTCTAATGCTCTTAATAGGAGTAAGTTCCTGAATGACTTGAGCAAGTATTTTGGACGTAAAGCAATAGTATAATTTTCTCTAATACCATGCTGCAGTTTCCGGCTCGGGTTGCTCTAACCGGGGATGTTGTGCCTCTCAAAGATAAAAAGGTAACTATTAACCATCAAGATAAAATAAACCCTAAGGATAAAATAGTAGAAACTGAGTATTTGTGAATATTAGTAATTTATTTATCACTTTCTCTAAATTTTAGAAACATCATATAAATAAGTTTTGGGATTCTGATTTATTAAGTGTCTAGTAAAGCCCCATTAACCTGATATTTTAACAATGTGATCCTTTCAGGATAAAGGCGTTTTTGGAATATTAACCATCATTTGCAGAAATCTTATGTATGATTGTCAATCTTAAATTTTCTTCTTCTTTCCCATGACTGAGTCTTCCTATGGCACGGCATTTGATAATCTAGGTTGACTTTATTTTGAAGAGTCCTACAACCATTGTCAACTTTATTTTTATTGTTCATGTTATAGGCTCAGTCAGCTGCAGAAAGCCTTAACGAAGTCATGCTCTCTGAGGAGAAAGCAGCTAAAGAATTTAGTTATACTGTTTCTGGTGTATTAATTTCTTCTAACCACTTGTCCGCATCTCGAAGTGAAAACCTTAAGGAGCTGCTTGATGGGGGTGAAAAGTATGTGATTTATAAGTTCAATCTAAGGTATCCACTTTGACTCAGATTGTTAGTTTGATATAATGAGTAACTGTAGATATTGCCATCGCATTGAACCCAGTGTCAATGATGCTTGGTTTCGCTTCTCTGCTGATTCTAGAAAGGGTGATATCATATCATATCCTGAAAGAAGGTTCATATCTGAAGTTGTCTGTAGCATGTAATTGCCTTCAAAAATAATGCAGACAGGTTAAGAGGTAGCACCTACTATTAAAACCTGCAAGAAACTGCTATTTGAGGATTATTAATATGTTACTTTTGCGTATTAAGTTATCGATGATTGAAGTGCTGTCTGAAAGAGGAACCAATAGGGATCTCATTTTATGTATTGAAGCTTCAATGTTATGGTCAATTCCTGTTCAATATGATTTTACCTGAGGAATAATCATGTATTCAAATCATATAATAAATTTAGCTGAAAGAGTTAGTAAAAATGATGAGAATGGGGCTTAGTTTGAGAGAAAGGGAAAACGAAAAACGAGGCATTCATGTGTTGACTTTCATCTGACATTAAATATCTACTGTCCAGTTCTTGCATGTTTGTTGATGGCAATGGAGGAATGCATGAAGTAGACTTTGAAGATATAGAAAAGTGTAAAGCTGATTTGCTAGGTAAGACCTCACTGCAGAAACAACTGTTGTTCTATCTTAAGGATAGTAGTGACATGAATTACAACCATGCAAGGTAAATTGCATTTTTCAGACTACTGACCAGATTCTATCCTTAATTTGTCTCTTTGTAGCACTGTATTCTGCGAAGCTAATTGATGGTATTAATCAAAGCGAAGCAAGGCGCAGAGCACTGATCCTTTTTTGTTTCATACACTTGAATGTAAATGCAAGAGTAAGATTTACTACCCTTGTCCTGCTTTTAATATGTATTTGTTAATGACTGGCGGATGCAAAAGTTTTAGTTATCTTCCTTGCTTCGCTCTCTCGCTTTTTTCCTCTTTCAATTTCAATTATGCATATCCTGATACTTGTGCATCTACTTTCTGTGTGTTTGTGTGTACATTGGGTTTGAAAGATGAGGATTGATTTGATGTTTATCTCTGTATCATGTTCATTTGCTTACTAAGTGCGGCTGATGTGTGTGTATTGATTGAATGCATGAGACAATGGGGTTAAGGCTGTTAATTTCACCATGGAAAGTTGCAGATCCTCAAGAATAGTCTTCAGTTAATTAATAATGAGCTTCTATAGCATTGGACTGCATTGTCTGACAATGAACTCAATGTTCTTTCTAGGATGCCTACATGCTCTCTCTTGATCGTAAGGGATTTGATGTCCTGGGAAAGGTTCGTAGTAAAGCGATGAAGGATGAAGTTGGTGAATATCAATGGAAGCAATTCAGGATAACATTCAAGGAAGACGCACGAGATGTTGAATCCTTTTGCCATCAACTTGTGCAAATGGAAGAAGAGGCTGTCAAAAAGGTTTCTAGCTACAGTGGTCTGGCATAAAAGGGATAATTGGTCACTAGAAATCAAGTAAAATTTTGGTTGATTTTTGTTTCTTTTGCATGCATAAACTGAAATGAGCAAGACTAACAAAGTTTCCAATCCCTGTTTACTCACCCTCAAAAGTTTCTTTGTATATGTTCAACGCTGTTGTTCTTGACTAGAATGAATATTTCTTGTAGCGAGGAGGTGGTAATGATATTTCCCAGTAGCAGTTTCTTTCAAATTCATTTTTTTTTAAACTACAAAATAATCTGTGGCCTATGTTTGCTTGTGGATATAAGCAAGCTTGAAAAGGGGAGAAAATGCAAGCAAAGGCAATGCTCTAGGAAGGAAATTGAATAAACGACGACCCTCGAAGGGAAACATTCGTTACCTAAAATGGTATCTCCAAAATACGATACGAAGTTTTCAAGACAAAATGGTGGAGAATTCCTAAACAAAAAACATTCTAAAGATATAAATCGCAGAAACATAAAAATAACACCATAGGCAAATGCTTGTCATTCTTTCTTCAAATTTAATCAACTTCCTCGATCTTGGGACCAGCACCGCTGCCGCCAGCAGGAGGGGCATCATCATCCATGCCAGCACCCATATCAGCACCAGCACCCTGGTACATCTTGGCGATAATGGGATTGCAGATGCTCTCAAGCTCCTTCATCTTGTCCTCGAACTCATCAGCCTCAGCTAGCTGGTTGTTGTCCAACCATTGGATAGCCCCATCAATGGCATCCTCAATCTTCTTCTTGTCAGTTGGGTCAAGCTTTGAACCAATCTTCTCATCCTTGACGGTGTTCCTCATGTTGTAGGCGTAGTTCTCCAAAGCATTCTTTGCATCAACCTTCTTCTTGTGCTCCTCATCCTCAGCCTTGTATTTCTCTGCCTCTTGGACCATCTTTTCAATTTCTTCCTTGGACAATCTACCCTTGTCATTTGTGATTGTAATCTTGTTCTTCTGGCCGGTAGTCTTGTCCTCAGCAGAGACATTCAGGATACCGTTTGCATCAATATCAAAGCAAACAGTGATTTGAGGAACACCCCTAGGTGCTGGAGGAATACCAGAAAGCTCAAACTTGCCCAACAAGTTGTTGTCCCTAGTTCTGGCTCTCTCACCCTCATAAACTTGAATCAACACACCCGGCTGGTTATCAGAGTAGGTCGAGAAACCTGCTCCTTCTTGGTGGGAATAGTGGTGTTCCTTGGAATCAAACAGTCATAACACCACCAGCAGTTTCCAACCCAAGGGACAGAGGAGTAACATCCAAAGCAATAAATCCTGAACCTTCTCATTTCCTTCACCACTCAAAATGGCAGCCTGGACGGCAGCACCGTATGCAACAGCCTCATCAGGGTTAATACTCTTGCAAAGCTCCTTGCCATTGAAAAGTCCTGCAACAACTGCTGCACCTTAGGAATCCTAGTCGACCCACCAACAAGGACAACATCATGGACACTGCTTTTATCCATCTTAGCATCCCTCAAACACTTCTCAACAGGCTCCATACACTTCCTAAAAGATCCATGTTAAGCTCCTCAAACCTCGCACGAGTAATAGTTGAGTAAAAATCTATACCCTCATACAAAGAATCAATCTCAATGGTGGTTTGAGCAGTGGATGAAAGAGTCCTCTTGGCCCTCTCACAAGCAGTCCTCAACCTCCGCAAAGCTCTGGGGTTCCCACTAATATCCTTCTTATTTTCCTCTTAAACTCTTGAAAAAAATGGTTCACCATCCTATTATCAAAATCTTCACACCCAAGTGAGTATCACCAGCGGTAGCCTTAACTTCGAAAATACCTTCTTCAATAGTAAGCAAAGAAACATCAAAAGTACCACCACCCAAATCAAAAATCAAAACGTTCTTTTCACCAACACTGGTAGCTTTCTTACTAGACCATAAGCAATGGCAGCAGCAGTTGGCTCGTTAATGATTCTCATAACATTAAGCCCAGCAATGACCCGGCATCCTTGGTGGCTTGCCTTTGGAATCATTGAAATAAGCAGGCACTGTAACGACAGCGTTTTTGATAGTGGAGCCAAGGTAAGCCTCAGCATTTCACGCATCTTGATACCATGGAAGGATTTCCTCAGCAGCAAATTGTTTCTCTTCGCCTTGTAATTGACACACAATCATGGGCTTATCACCAGGCCCAGCAATAACCTTAAAGGGCCAAAGCTTGATATCGCTTTGGACCGATGAGTCCGAAAATCTTCTCCCGATTAATCGTTTGGCATCTGTTTTATTATTAACAACATTCTTAGTCAACCAGCCGAAACATCAACGTCAACAATCCTAGACTCTAGCGCATCAAATAATGACGTCATAAATAATAAAAAAACAGAGAAACATAGATTTAATTATAGATCCAAGAATAATACAACGTTCTAGATCTGGCTAAAAATAAATGAAATTCTTCTAAACAAAAATCGGGGACTGGGAAGTAGAAATATTACCGAAGACGGTGTTGATGGGGTTCATGGCGACTTGGTTCTTAGCAGCGTCGCCGATCAAACGCTCGGTATCAGTAAAACCGACATAAGACGGAGTCGTACGATTGCCTTGGTCGTTAGCGATGATTTCGACCCTGTCGTGTTGCCATACTCCGACGCACGAGTACTCGTTCCTAGATCGATCCCGATCGCCGGCCCTTCTCCTTTTCCGGCCATTTCCAAAAATTCCAACAAAAATCAAAGGAAAAATGAAGAATAAATGGAGAAGAGAGAAGATACGAAAGGGTATCGTTCTTTCGATTTGAGCGTGTGTGTGGTTCGGAGTTAGGTTTGGTGTTTTTATATGGTTTTCGTTTTCTTTGTTTGGGTTCTAGAATGTTCGGAGGGAAAATGGGGATTCTGAGCCGTTGGTTTTAAAAGGATGGACGGCTGAGATTCGGTTTGGATTTGGAAAAAGTGCAGGCCCACTACAATTTTTTGGTTGCGTGTGTTTTTCAAAGTTTGCTTAGCGGGTGAGAATTTTGATTTTTCTGACGAGGTCGGCCACGCGCTTTGATGGGTCCAGGCTGTGCCGGGTTTGGCTCCAAACACAACCCGAAATCCATGCCAATGAATGAGTTTGGGTGTGCTCTCTCCAGTATGGGTTTGAGCCTGAGTATTGCAGAGACAGAATGCTACCCCAGGACCCAAGAGAAGAACTGCGACTCTCTATTTCTTGGGCCTGCACCATCTTTTAAAGAAAGAATTAAATTTGGGCTTATGAAGACTAGCTTCGTCGAATCTAAGGCCCAACCTTTGTGTTTTGGGCTCATTATTACCCATCAATCATTGATTTAATTTTATCAAAAAGAAAATTGGTGTGATTAAAAGTGTTCACAAGTCAAGTGGAGTCCGATTAATATCTCAAGACGAGCTAATATCTAGAAAATCCTATCCAAACTTGACTTTATGTAGCATATAGGTTTATGCATGCAGTTTGGTGTTACGGATTCATATTAAGAGATGGAGCTAGTTTTAAGTTTATAAATAAAGATTTTCCATCATTTAATAAGTGTGTCTTTTGAATTGAAAAATAAGTTCATAACAAATTGTATGAGAATATATTCAAATCTTTGCTAATACGGAACTCTCATAAAATATATTAAGGTCGAAATAGAATTAGATCAATATAAAGATCCCTCTATTCTATGGGTAAAGAGCAAGTACAATATAATAAAAGCATTACACAATTAGGTAGAATAAAATGTTACGAATCTCATATCAATAAAAAATGAGATGTGACTTAAGTTTATAAATATTTATATAATCATTTTTAGCTAATATAAACATGACTCACAATTTTCCAAATAAGGTCTAGAATCACCTTCCAAAAATGTGAAAGTATACTTTTGATTATTCAGAAGCGAGAAAATTAACTAGTAATTGATGGACCACTCGCACTAACCTCATGCTTGGAAGGCTTTGATTACAATTTACGAAAACAAAATCAAACTTAATCAGTGGCAGATTGAACGGTCTTAAAAAATTATTTAGGAATCTTGGCTTTAGAATCTTCATGGGAAAAGCACGTGAGCCCGATTTGTCAGCTTCCTAATCACTCATTTTCATCTACCTCTCTCTCTCTCTCTCCCTCTGCTTTAATCCTTCCCTAAACACACGTGAGCCCCTTGTCCACATAATCCTACTTTTTCCCTTATATAATGTTAATGCACAATTATTTCATGCTAAGGAAGGGTTTAACTACTCTTAATTAAGCCAATTACATAATGAATGCACTAGCTAGCTGTTTTGATCACATTTTTAATTGAGAGATAATGTTTTGATGTTTAAGCATCTTCCTCTCTAATGTGAATGATCTAAACCGTTAAATTTTGCATATTTATATTTTTTTTCGGTACATATAAAAAAATTTAAAAAAACGAGAGAATTCGAATCTTAAATTCCCAATTCCATTAAAAAGGGTTCAATCTTTAATTCATGTTTGGATGTTGTTCATAGTAATTTCTTGATTTACGTGTAAAATTTGTAATTATTATAGTGATTTATGCTATAACACTTTAATTATCTCTTATTAACCTAACTAATGAATTAAATAGAATGTTCATAGAGAGCTTGTTAAGTATTTCACCTGGTAGTTTGATCACAAATGCAACCTGATGAGTTTTCTTTTCTCGCTTTCGCAATTTTTCACGCAGGACAACTCATGACAAGGAGCTTCATGTTCTGCATGTGCTGTATGCTCTACTACTACAAAAGGGTAGTCCTTTTTTTTTTTTATATTTCACTATTACTAGCAATGAAATCACTAATTGCCTTTCAAAAAAATTAAATAGAAAAAAAAGTAAAGTACTTTGACCATTGTGCTATATGGATCACTTGTATTATATAAAATTATCTTTTTTGAGAGAAAGAAGAATGTGGGATGGGAAGGTGACAGCAAGTGAACAAAAAAATACTAGTGGCCAAAAAGCTGCAAAACCCAAGCTTCCTTTCCAACCATGTCTGAATATATGTGTCTATATATAATTAATATATATATATATATATATCTGCATACAAGAAGGGAAGGGTTTGCTTTTCTTTGCATGGAAATAAGCTAAAAAGATACATATATTCTGCCAAAGATTGATTAGATATGGGAATTAGATTCCGACACCACCCAAACCTTAGAAAAACCTTTTTCCTAAATCACATGCTACAAAAAACAATTCAGGGTTTCGATCTCTCTTTCCATCAATAGTTGCATGC